TGAGGCCCTTACCCGCCAGCAGGAGACGGATACTCTCACTCATACCGCAGGCTGTGTAATGGGGATGCACACCAGTGGCTTTGCAACATGTGGGACCAATTCTACCTGGGAGAGGAGAGGGGAAGGCAGGAAAGGTCCTAAAAAGCAAGGGAGAGGGCTGAGGTTTGCACAGGAGCTGTTCCTGGAGCTGTCCATGGCAGGGTTGAGATCTCAGTCAGCAGGAGAAGATGGTAATACAGGACCTCATGGTGGTTTGGTGGGACCAGGCGACTGGGTTTGGCCAATGAGTGGTGGGGAGCGGTAAGCATGACCCTTCCCGGCCAGCGTATTCCTTTGCTAGTGCAAGATCTTCCAGAGGTCTCCTTCTGGCATGGCAAATAGCCATGTTTGAGACTGTGGCTGCTCCCAGGTACCTGAGTAGCTGTCCCCAAGACACATCTCTCTTGATAGACAAGTGTAGAGGAAGAAAAACCATTTCCCCTTTACCCATTTTAGGTTCATTGCTGGAGTCCTGTAAGTTAGAACAAGGAAAGACAAGTTCACAAGAGAAAGACAAACAGAAGTTTACTAACATGTGCATCATGCATACACACGGGAGCACTCAATGATGAGTAACTCAAAAGGGTGGTTAGAACTTGGGCTTATAGGGGCGCCTGGGCGGCCCAGTCAGTTGGGCGTCTGACTCTTGATTTGAGCTCAGGTCGTGATCTCGCGGTATGTGGGATGGAGCCCTGTGTCAGGCTCTAGGCTGGCAGTGCAGAACCTGCTTGGGATTCTCTCTCTTCCTCTCTCTTGTCCCTCCCCTGCTTGCCCTGTCTCTGCCTCTGTCTCTTTCTCTCAAAATAAATAAATAAACATTAAAAGAAAAAAAGAACTTGGGCTTATATTGAATCTGAACAAAAGGACAATACATTTTTAGCCAAGTGACAAGATAAAGAAAACAGACTTTGAGCTTCCAGGGGTGGCAAATTGTGGGAAGGCAAATATATGGGGAACTAGTGGTAGATAAGGGCTGGTTTTAGCAGAATTTGTTCGATAGATCCCTCTGGGCTGATAAGGATCTAGAGTTATCACCAATGATTAACTTCTGTACTTCCTGGTATAGGGGAAGCACCTTTACAAATTTATGTCCTCTTGACGGAAATAGGGGAAGGGCAGAGAGGTTTTCTTGTATCTGCTTCTCATTTGCCTTAGGCTCAAAATAATCCTTATGCCAAAGGGGCATATTTGGGGGTTGCATATTTTGCTACTCTACAACAAAATTGTGTTGTTTTATTGTTGTTTGTTATGGACACCATAGCATAACCTCGCTCAGTGGTTCTCAAAGTGGGGGTTCCTGGACCAGCAGCCTGAGTTTCACCTGGAAACTTGTTAGAAATACAAATTGTTCGGCCCCACCTCAGACTTACTGAAGCTGAATCTCTATGGTGGGGCTCAGCAATCTGAGTTTTAACACACCTTCCGGAAGATTTTGAGGCACATCCAAGGCTGGAAACTGCTGCCCTCGCTGATGCTGACTGATACCTGCAGCCATCTGAAAGGCAGAGCGAGAGGAATTTATAGAGAAGGTCATTCTAGTAAACGTGAAAAAAATTGAGTAGAAGAATGAAATGGTCAGGTTCTTCATGTCACAGGAAAAGAATTTTTAAGAAAAACATATTGAGGGGTGCCTGGGTGGCTCATTCGGTTAAGCATCTGATTCAGCTCAGGTGATGATCTCCTGGTTCGTGAGTTCCAGCCTCGCGTCAGTCAGCTCAGAGCCTGGAGCCTGCTTCAGATTCTGTGTCTCCCTCTCTCTCCCTCCCCTGCTTGTACTCTGTTTCTCTCTCTCAAAAAATAAGTAAACATAAAAAGAAAGAAAAAATATTGAATCTATCCCTATAGAATGAGCCTTCCTATCAAAAGGGCCCAAACTGTCTGACTTTGTGGACGGGCTCCTACTTCGTTGTATCAGAAGAAAATACTGTCGTGGGGGGGGGGGGGGGGGGGGGGGGGGGTGTCCTCTGAATCCGATGGCATTAAAGCCAGACCCAGGGCCTAAGATAAACCCAGAAATGCATTTTCCATTTGTCTCTGTAGCCTTGCTGACTTAGAAAATGCTCCTGAATGCTTTGAGTCTGAAAGGTACATAAAACCCAATTCTCTCTTCCTCAGGGTGAGTCATTAGAGCGCAGAGCGGGCTATTTGGTAATGGGCACTATTTAAATGAAGCAAAAAGTACAATTCAGACGAATTGCTTTTTAACCTGTCAAATCAAAGGAACCCATTTGTGCGTGTGAAATTATTCCAAGGGTTCTAACTATTAGCGGAATGCAGGTGAAAGATGTCAAAGGAAACAAATGCTGTATTAAAGAGCTGGCTAAATGTTTAAAGGCAGACCCCTTTGGCCTGTTTTGGATTCAAAAATTTGTTTTCAACGGCCCTAGGTGAACTCCACAGACAAAAGTTTTGAGAAAATATTAAGTCCTAGTAAGTGGAAGCCATTTGTTTATTGGAGTTGTTTTTAACCAATGTGACCTTAAGGTTGTTTTATGGATAGGGCAACAGCATATTAACCCTTCCCCTTTGGCTTCAATTTTATGCCAAGGCTCTTGGCTAGGCTTTGAAATGATCTGTTTAACACGTTCTATGGTTTTCTATTTGCTATTGATAAATGCATCCTTGTACAGCCTAATCAATGAGAAGAAAATTCGGCAATAGTATGAAAAGTACCTTTTCTGGAACTGGCCTGCATGCTTGGTAACGGTCGCCAATATGGCAGACAAACCTTAATTGTCTTCTCTACAGACAAAAGAGAGCCCTGGGCTGTTCTATAGGAGACCAACTCTGGCCTTTTCCATTTCATTTCCTCTAGGGGTTTACCACCGCAATTAGTCTTGTGTTCATGCCTTCAGTATCTTTGTAGGTACTGAAATGGGGCTGCTGAAAAATAACTAGTGAGCCTTCTCCCTACCCAGGCCCTCTCGGTACTTCTTACTTGTGCTCTAACACAAACACAATTGTCCCTGCTTAGACCAAGAGGGACCAGGCGGATGGTGATCAGCTGGAGGCACCGGGACAGGCTTGAAAGGGCCATGCTTCTCGCACTCAAAGTGCACACAGATCTCCAGAAGGTCTTGGGAAAAATGTGCGGTAAGACTCAGTAGGTCTGGGCCGGAGACTTAGTCTGCATTTCTTGCAAGTTCCCAGGCACTGCTCATGCTGTCGTGGAACGCTTTGAGTAGTGAGGGGAAAAGGCCCATTTTGCACAACAGCGACTTTTACAACTGACTTATTAAACAGAGGTTTATCTGAGGGTCTGGCTCCCTTTTGATTCAGGGTTCCTTGAAAGCAGGGACTGACTCTTACACAGTTTTTTTTTGTTGTTGTTGTTGTTGTTGTTTGGTTTTGTTCTCTGGCTGGCAGTTGGCTCAGGTCCCTGCACGCGGTGGGTGTGTATTTATTTAATTAAACAGATCTGGCCTTGCTCCAAAAAGGATTTTCGGTGGACTTAACCCCTAGCAGGTCCTAACTGGGTGCGCGATGAATGGGCCCGGGAAGGAAGGTAGTCACACACCCTCCTGGCTGAGGCCCTTCCTTCGCAGCCCCCACCACTTGCTTGCACCTGCATTCCACTCCAGCTTCTGGTCTTCGGAAATTCTCCCTCCTACTCCATTTTTAAAGCGGTTGACCCTCGAGAGCCGATCAGAGACCAGGAGTAAACACAAAAGCAAACCAAACCACAGAGCCCTGCAAAGCGGTAAGGCAGCACAACATCAAAAGCTCAACAACTCTCGGCGGCGGAGGGGCCGCGCCACTCTGGGGTTTCTGCCTCCGCCTCCCGGGGAGCGTTTTGCAGGTCGGCGTTGCGCCCCGGCTGCCGGCTCCCCCGCCCACCCCGAGAGCCCTGCAGGAGCGGTCCCAGCGGGCGCGGGCGCCTCTAGGCTCCGTGCAAGCCTGTTTGCTAGCTCGCTCGAGCAATTAATCTTCTCGTACATCTCCCGCCCTGGGTTAGGGGGGAGTGGGAGGTGGCGGGGGGTGGGGTGGGGAGGTCGGGCCGGCTCGGGGGTCGTGGGGAGTCCGCACAGGAGCGGCCACGCGACAGAAACCCTTGTTCCGAGAGTCCCGGCGTTCCAGAACCTGTTTCTCTCCGCAGCAGCCTCCGAGGGTAGAGGACGGATTGTTTCGGCTCCACAGGGGAGGGAGGGGGGCGATTATGTTGGTCAGTAGTTGAGCCTCCCGGGGGGAAGGGAGGAGCGCACGGGCGAGTGCGCCCTCGGGGAGGAGTACACGTGCTGGGGAGGGGGGTGAGAGGCGGGCGGGAGGGGAGGAGAAGGGAGGCGAGAGCTGCGGGCGGGAGGCGCCACGGCCTCGCAGACGCAGGCGCCGGCAGCCGGAGAGAAAGTTCCCGGGGAGAGCTCGCCCCCGGGAGGGCTGACGTCGAGGCCGCTCGCGGCGAGGGTCGCAGGTTCCGTGGAGCCAGCCTCCCCTCTCCTTGCGCGCGCTGGGCCGCCGGGCTTGGCTCGCCAGGAAGCAGGGGGGGTGCTGCTGTTGGGCGGCCGCCGCCAAACTTGGAGGGGGAGAATGCTACGAGTGGGAGCGGGGGCGCACTGAGTGCTCCCCGCGGGAGCCCCCGGGCGCTGCTGCCGGGGCTGCGGCAGGGCGAGCGCGCCGAGGCTGAGCGGGCAGGTAGCGGCTCCGGCGCCGAGACTGCGCCAGCCTACGAACCAGGGCCGCCAGCGCCCCCGTGCCGGCGTCGCCTCCTCGCCCCGGAGCCATGGTGCGCGGAGCGCGCACGCCGCGCGCGGGACTCTGAGCTCCTGCTGCGCCGCGCGCCCCCACCTCCCTTCTCCCGGCTTCCCCGCCGACCTTGCCCGTGGGCCATGAAGCTTTGGCCCGGAGCCTCTTGCCTCTGAGCTTCGCGTCGTCCGCTCCAGCCCCAGCGCCGCTCGGCTACAGCTGGCACTCCGGCCGCCGGAGCTCCCCATCCTCTCCCGGGGACGGCACCCAGGCGCTCCAGGATGGCCCTCCGCGGGTCCCTCCGGCAGCGCAAAGTTCGCAGGAGGCGAGAGATGCTGCCGCAGCAAGTTGGCTTCGTGTGCGCGGTGCTGGCCCTGGTGTGCTGTGCGGCCGGCCTCTTTGGCAGCTTGGGTAGGTGCCGGTGCGGGCCCGCCCCGGGAGTTGAGGGGCTTGGGCTGGGAAGCCGACGGGCAGCTGCGAGATGTCTCCCCTTCCTTCCCCGTCAGGTTGGTCCCAAGGGTTCATCCAGTCCCGTCCCCTCCCCACCCGGCAGGTAGAGCGCACCCAGGAGGGCTGACATCGACGCTTTGAGCTGTGGTGCCGGTTTCCCTGAGCTGCGCGCGGCCCCTGGGGGCTCAGGACGCGGCTGCAGGTCTGTGTTACTAAGATGAAAGCCTGAACATGGGGCCCCTCCGTGCCACAGTGCCGTCCCCAGAGTGCGTGGGGGACCGGGCGGCGCAGAGGCGGGGTTCAGGTGTGAATTCTCGTGGCCTCGGGAGGACCGACCTGAGTGGTCCGCTTTCCAATTTTGCGGAGCGGAAAGGGTTGTGCTCCGCGTTTCTCAAAAACCCAGATTCTGAGGCTGGGCACAGGGACTTATCCATCCCCTCGTCCTGGCCAAAGGAGCACCCTGGGGGTCCCTGACTCATCCACTCCAAACCCTGAAAACGTCCCCTTGGGAGGTTTCTGCCGCGGTTCAGCATCGCTGAACTCCTTTTAATCCCTTCGGTAGGAGAGCACTGCTGTCTAGAACCTCAAGCCACACTCCTTCATCCAAGACTGAGCGATTTTGGAAGTCGCTTAGGATATGCAAATCTGAGGTGCAGAAAGAAACTTAGAAAAAAAAAATCAGTTTGGGGGTGGAGTGGGGAATGTGAGCCCATGTGGAATCTTCAGACGACATTCGCTTGGCTAACACTCCCACTTTTAGTTGGGCGCTGTGGACCTTTTTCACATGGAAAAAAAAAAAAAGAAAGAAAAAGAAAAATGCAGGTGACTTAGCAACCCGGACATGGAGATAAAGCAGGGGGTGCCTTTTTGAGCAGTGAGGGACAATCTGGAGAGATTTAAGATTTACAGTGATAGGTAACAATCAGGTGAAACGTCATTAAACTCTTAAGCTGCTTTTCAAGACCCCAGCTTTGTGATTTGAGGATATAAGGTCAAAAGAAGGCTCTTTCCAACAGAAACCCAGGAGGGTTATTTGAACATCTTAACCTGGTGCTTTTCAGTTGGCCAAGTCAGTGTATTTTCTCCCTCAGTTACACACCAGAAAAACCAAAAAGCTTAGCGGCTCCTAGGTGTCAGCATTATAGGAGAGTTATTATTACCCAGCTGAAGCTGTGTGCACATCAGCAGAGGTAAATGAATACTTTGAAGCTCTTAAAGCGAGAATGGTTTTTATTTGCTGGGTCGGAAATTACCTCTAGGAGTTTTAACCGTGTTTGGTCGCGGGCATCCACCCCACCGATCCCCCTTGCTACTCAGTGTGGCCATTGGATCAGCAGATATAGCATCGCCTGGGAGCTCGTTAGTACAGAACCCAGGGCCCAGCCCGGACCTGCTGACATAGAATCTGCATTTTGACAAGGTGCCCAGCTGATTTCTGTGGATGTTCAAGGGGGAGCAGCTCTGGGCCAGACCCCATCCACCTTCTCCACCTTTTTGCTGACCTAATATCCATTAGTAGTTCTTCTGGGGCAGGGACTGAGCATGTTTACTGGCCAAAAGTTTCATGCTTACCTGCCCTGTGAGGGGTCGAGCACTCTTGGCCAAGGTCAGATCAGGTGCTGACCCACCTGGGACTAGAAACAATGGACCAGATCTAAGAAACAGATTACCGAGCATAAGCAGGTGATCTTGTGCCTCCAATCATTATCTCACTCCCTGTGGGTGGCTTTGCGTAGTCACACGGGGCTGTTGCTTATATAGCCAGATACGGATGTGTAAGGTCATTGGAAGAATGCACCGTGTTGACCTAATGGTGTTTGTGACTTCTTTTCCAATCCAGGGCATGAAACCGCTTCTGCTAACAAACTCGTTCTACCCGACACATGGAGGAATAGGAAGCTGATGGCACCAGTGAATGGGACTCCGACAGCCAAGAACTGCACAGATCCTGGTAAGAAATCCATCTCGCCCTTGCCTCAAGGCGTTTGGCCTATAGATGGTGCTTATGTGGACGTTCCAGCCAGAGCTGAGAAAGGTGCTTTGATGAACCTGAGTGGGAAAGGGTAGCTGTAAGGCATAGAAAAGCTATCGGACAGGCATTAATCAGTTATGCTGCTAAGCAACTCAAGTACTTTCTTTACCCAGCAACGGAAAAGGTCACACTGGAGAGTTTTAAAATTTCATTTTTTTGTTCTCACCACGCTCCTACAGGCTCATTTCCCCTGCTGTCTTGATATTGTTTGCCCGGGTGTCTTTGTCTCCTTTCCCTTTTCCCACGGTATCCATCTGATGGAACTCTAGGGGCAGCAGATGCAGCTGCTGTGACAGGTGGCGCTTAGGAATGACCTTCCTATGAGGGTTGCCATGAGCCAGGGAACCCGCAGGGTTAGGACTGTGGCGCTGGGGTCTTTTCTCTGTAACAGGAGTTCCCAGAGCGTGGTGCTGGCTTGGGGAATGGATTCTGCCGGCTGCGGGAGGCAGTTTTGATGTCCCCCTTCAGGCTTCTCTAGGGGCTCAGAGGCTGTAGGGACCCAGAAATGACATCTTCTTCTCTGTTCTGCCATAGGCAGGTTTTGCTTAAATAGGTGAAGAAGATTCCGGGAGAGGCAAATGGCAGCTGGCCGGGCTTCAGGGCAGTCCTGGGCTCGAATTCTGACTCCAATATCTGGGAGTCTCTTGCGGGAAGGATCCAGTGGGATGAAGTATTCAAAAGCCCGTTGAGAACTTTGAGATCTTATTGTGGGTCGGTACCGCTTGGCTCTTCCGCCGAGTTGCCAGGAAGTCTCGTTATCTCTTTGGGTCTGTTTTCTCCTCCATAAAATGGGCAGAATAGTACTTCTTGTTCTGGGGTTGTGGGGAAGCTCTGGTAAGGCCCTGTAGGGCTGTGTGTAAAAGGGAATGGGAAGCCAGGGCAAAGATGGCATGTTTGGATGGTAGTCTTCACTTATTTTCATAGGCAGGTCTTCTCTGTGGTCTCCAGGTCAGGAGACCTCTGGGGAGAAGACCCCAGTTGCTCAAAGCCACATTCTAGGTGGTGACGCTGGCATTGGAATCCAGGCCAGTGTGATTAAAATGGTTAGTTCCACAGGCATTGGAGGCCAGGGCTCCCCCTCAAAGCCTGTTTTACTGCACCCAACCTCCCTCCCTTCTGAGAAGGCCACATGGGGCATGGAGGGTAGGTGAGTACAGGCCTGGCGAGAGGCTGCTGGGATTGACTTTGAACTTGGGCCATCCATTCCTGAGAAATTCCATGTAACCCTGCCAGCCACCTTGCTTCTCCAGTCATTAACCGCCCTCGGACATCTTTCATTACCAGAAGTGGTGGAGGCGTGGGCTGGACAGGCGAACACCGGTACAGCCAGGGACTCCTGTTGGGGTCCATGCTCTCCAGGGACTAAGACGCTGGGATCCGCACCATCCGCAAGGGGCGGGGACGCTTTGCTACTCTGGGTGAAGAGTCCGGAGCAGCGCATCTTTGGTTTCTGGCTCACTGGGCCCTCGTCTCGGTCAGGCTGTGCCCTCTTCCTCTATCTTCTGTCGCATGTAATCTGGGCACAGACTACATGGAATGGGAGGTTCAGAAGTTTAGTGACTCGCGAGCGCTCTCGGCGGTCGGGTGCGTCCCCGGGTCCGGATCCCACGCCCTCCCCTCGCTGTTCCACCTGCTCTAGTCTTCCTGCCAGCCCAGGTGGGGCTGACTCCCGACTTCCCTTCCAGCCGCTTCGTCCCTGGGCCCCCTTTCGTTTCACAGGCATGTAGCACACACCTGACGCTGTGTGTCCGGCCCTCCGGTGGGCACTCGGGGAGGGGGGATGAGCGAGCATAAGTGGCAGCTTTGTCAGCAAGTAGCTTCCTGTTGTGGAGAAGACCGGTTCCTGACACAGGGAATGCTCAGCGAGGCAGAAGGATGGCAGGGGTCCCGCGCACAGTCAGCAGCCACCGGGGACCCCCTTCAGGGGCTCAGAGGAGGGTGACCGGGTCTGAAGTAGTTGGTGTAGTCCTGGGGTCTAGATGAGGCAGGCCTCTAGGGCAAAGACAGAAAGCTTGCCCAAACTGGGTTTCGTGCCAAAGGGAGTTGATCGGGTCTGTCACTGAAAGTGGGAGGTCAAAGGTGAAGGTCATGACTCAGTTTCTCTCTGTCTCTGGACTCGGAAGTCCTCCAGCGTGGGCCGGTGATTACTATAGCTCCACCTTTCAGACCTCAAATGCTGGGAGAGGGTGACAGTGGTGCTTTGGTGGAGGTTGTGAAGTTCTGTTGGCTTGGGTCACATGAGCCCCTAAGCTAATTGCTGGGGTGGGGGGTGAGGGGCAGGCTGGGTGTGGGGATGGAAGCGGAGGCCTGGGCGTGGGCTGGGGTATGCCTGAGTCCTGGGCTCTTCTTCTGGACCGAGCAGGCTGGAACGGGACTCTAACTGATCCCTTACAGAGTCCCGTCCTCAGGCCGCTGCTTGGGGAAAGGTGGGCCAGAACCTCCTCCCACTTACAGTTTCAGAGTGTGATGGAGGGTGGCCGCTATCTTCCTCACAGTTAAAGGAACTGCTACAGGAACTTCCTTACAGAGTTGTCCCTAAGGAACCCTGGCTAGTTCTGGCATCCTCTGATGTTTTTGTTCGTATGTGTCTCCCCAGGCTAGAGGGCCCCCGGCCCGGGTCTGCCACATGAGGTCTTTTAGGCATGTGGGGAGATGAGGCTCTAAGAATGTCCTGCTGTGTCAGAACACGCAGAGCTAAAGTGACCCCCCTCCCCCGCCCCGCCCCCGGTTGGCATTCAACCAAAATTCACGTTTTTATAAGAACCTTGTGGGTAGGGACTGTGTCTCAGTTTCTGTACTCTCTGCATGCTCCTCTCTGCCTGTGAGGGGAACACCTTCTTTTCCAAAAAGAAACATGAACGGCACCTGCTCCCTTGTCCCTTAAGTCTCGCTGTGAAAAATGGGCTCTTTGCTCCGCCTGGGGCCACTTCCCCGGGCCTTGCTGGGGTGTCCATCTCATTCTTTGTGTTGTGGCTTGGGTACCTCCCCCATCACATTGCCCTGTATCTCTATGACCTGTGTCACATGCACAGTAGCTTACCTGTCCTCTGTTCCCCTTGAGGGCTCCCTCCCTCACTGCTCTGTGCTCAGAAGAGTGATCCTTAGCCCTGCCCACGTCTTTCAGTCCTGGAAGAGCTTCTGAAATGCTCACGTCCTGCCCCTGGAGTGTCTGATTTCATTGCTCTGGGGCCCAGGAATCTGTACTTTTTTTTTTTTTTTTAAATTTAAAAATTTTTTTTTAAATGTATTTTTTATTTCTAGGAGAGAAAGAGAGTGACAGCGTGAGCAGGGGAGGGTCAGAGAGAGAGGGAGTCACAGACTGAAACAGGCTCCAGGCTCTGAGCTGGCAGTCAGCACAGAGCCCAACGCGGGGCTCGAACCCACGAACCGAGAGATCATGACCTAAGCGAAAGTCGGATGCTTAACCGACTAAGCCACCCAGGCACCCCCAGGAATCTGTACTTTTTAAGAGCTCCCTGGCAAGCCCCAGATGAAGCCAAGGTTGATGCTCACTGGGCTAGAGACCTGCTGTTGATGCTCCCTGGTTGGCATAACCTGGTGGCTTGTCAGGAATGCAGAGTCTCAGGTCCACCTGAGCCTTCTGAATCAGAAGCTGCATCCTAACGAGGTCCCCGGGGCAATGTACATGCACAACACAGGCCCAGAAGCACTGGGCTAGGATAGTGCCTGACCCTTTGTAGGCTCTCAGTAAGTATTTGAATGTTGAATGAAGGCTAAGACTTGGGGTAACCTAGGAGATTTTCCTGAAAACCAGTTGGGTTTCATTTTTGAATGTAGGGAAGCTAAGAAAGTAAATAACATCATTTTTGACCCCTGAGGTCTGTGGGAAAGTCCTTAATTTATCTTCCCCCTGAGACCCGTGCCTCTAGGACTTAGATTTTTCTTTCATGGTCTGGGAAGGGCAAGCACTGCAAAAGAGAGGTGGGTCCCTCCATGCAAACTGCCCGAAATAGGAATGAGAGGCCGTGACTTTAAACTGTCTTAGCTCAGGCTGCCCTAACAAAATACCATGGACGGGGTGGCTTAGATGACAGACCTGTATTTGTCACAGTTCTGGAGGCTGCGGAGCCCTGACGTGGTTCAGGGTGAGGGCCCGCTTCCTGGCTTGCAGATAGCCACCTCCCTGTGTGCTTGCCAGGTGGAGAGGGAATCTGAGCTCTGGTCTGTCTTCCCTTTCTTATGAGGACGCCTGTGTCATCATGGGGACCCCACCCTCGGGGCCTCTCCCCAACCTAATTATCTCCCAGAAGTCCTACCCCAGAGTCCAATCACCTTGGAGGAGTAAGGCTTCAGGGTAGGAATTTAGGCGGGGGCGGGGCGGGGGGGTGAGACACACCTTCGGGAACTAGAGAGTTTGCACCTGTCTCTGGCAATGGCACCAGAGTGAGAGGGACCAGGGATCTGTCATCTGAAGGCTCTGACAGATACAGATGCCTGGGCCCAGCTCCGACCCGTGAGATTAGAACCTGTGACCAGCATGTTCTGTGGCTGACTTTTGGAACTTCTGGGAACCATGCTGTTACCTCCAAATCCTCCAAGATGAGCTTGTCATTGACACATCCCGGGGACCTTCCCTGATTATCCAACCCAAAGTAGCCTTTTAAAAAAAAATTGTTTTTAATGTTTGTCTGTTTTTGAAAGAGAGACAGCATAAGCAGGGGAGGGGTGGAGAGAGCAGGAGACTCAGAATCTGAAGCAGGCTCCAGGCTCTGAGCTGTCAGCACAGAGCCCAACACGGGGCTCGAACTCACGAACCGTGAGATCATGACGTGAGCCGAAGTTGGACATTCAATGGACTGAGCCACCCAGGCACCCTGATAGCCTTCTGGTCGCTGGTCCTGATGTCCCAGCTCTTTGCAGACACAATTGTGCGTTATTCTATTGCTGGCTTGCTTCCC